AAAGTATTATAAGTTTATAAAATATGACTTTTACAAAATTGAAAACTAATATTAATTTTTTAATATATGATATGTACCACGATCAATATCAAAATAAATATACCAGTGCTAAGCAAGATTTAAATAAAGATATAATAAATGGTAAACGTAATTTAAATTTGATTTTTTGAAACAAGAAAAATAATTTATGATTTTACTATTTTTTTTCTAAATGTTTAGACAAAAAAATATAAAATATATACTAACCATGTCTTGTACGACCCCAACCAGCTACTGTAGCTGTCTTGCCAACCAATTTAGCAGCTGAGCTTGGTAAACACACTGGAATTATGTGCTGTTTATATGTTACGTCATGGTCAATTTTGACTAAAGCGACGTCATTACGAAAATCTGTCGGACTGTATTGTGGATGTACCTGTGATGAACAACATTATATAATTACTTCGATTGATATGGATTACTATTACATGAATTGGAAACTTTTATATCTTTTACAGTTTTGATTACAATTTGATTCTTTAAAATGAAAATACTTATGTACCGATTTCAATTTTGGTTCCTAGCTCTGATTATTAATTTTGCATTATTTAAAGTATAGATACTATTTAATGTACGTGAATTTACAGATTTAAAAACAATGCGCAATGTAATCATTTGAAAATTATAACTAATAATAAGATCTAAAATCATTAGTTTTAACTCCACACAAACCAACTAGTAAATCACATTACCACTAACTTGATAATAATAAAATAAGTTAACTACCGTAATTTTTTGACATTCTGATAAATGAGAACAAAAATTTAAAGCAACCAGATTTCTGATATTTATTTTACGACTTGAACGTAATTAAATACAAATATTTTTTTTTAACAATAAATAATTATTTTCTTAATCATGTCTATATGTTTTAATATAAAATAATGAAGACAATTATTATATAAGATTATATAAATAATACAGATACTCCTTTGATTGAACAAATACTCGTATCATATACGATGACACAAAAAAATACCTTAAAATAATCACCAACGACAAATGTCAAAACATCTGGTCCAAACAAAATACTAAACTCAATGTAATCAAAGGTGACACTACCCAATGGTATAACCCCTCACTCAAAAGAAAAGAAAAAACAGTAATAAATAGACTACGGATAGGACACACTTGAATCACACACGGTTTCCTCATTTCCAAAGAGGAACCCCCCATCTGCACAACCTGCGAAACAAATCTCACAGTCAAGCACATCATATCGGACTGCATAAAGTATAATCAAGAAAGGATCAAACACRGDATATYACACAACCTYGRTGCAGCCCTTGGAGCCAATCACCAACTCAACGCAGATTTAATTAACTTCCTCAAGCAAACCAATATTTATAACCAAATCTAAACATGTAAGCAAACGTAATGTAAAAAATAANCAACGCAGATTTAATTAACTTCCTCAAGCAAACCAATATTTATAACCAAATCTAAACATGTAAGCAAACGTAATGTAAAAAATAAAATAACTAATAGCCTTTGTTGCCGAAGTTGTAAACGATAAATAAAAATAAAATAAAATAAAATAAAATAAACACATTTAGTACCTATAACGTATATATTCTGCAGTATATTTTATATTTACTCATTTTACGGTTTTAAGAAAGCTTTACCTTCCTGCTTATATCAATATTAAAATAATAAGTGGTTAAGGCATGTTATATTTATTTGCGAGTGACTAAAACTCTTTATACTTTATGATATTTGGTGTTGTATGTGTTGTAGATGTACTAAACGTTTCTATTTGTTCAGGATTTTAGTGATTGTAGTGGTTTAGAATATAACGTCCTAATGTCCCGATAAAGTGTTCTTAACGACTAACTTCCGTAGAATTGAATGAAATTAATTGATGTTAAAATGATGTCTTTTTCTAAGTATTTTTAGCAGAAAACCCCTATTGCTTTGATTAATGATAAAATAAGTAATCAAGTTGAATACTTGTTTGACTGATGATATATTTTCAAATTATTTTCCCAGCTTGGAGACTGCATTAATGATAGCGAATACGGTGATTGTTTTCCTCTTTCCTCGCGACAATTTTTGTTATYACGTATCCCTAATGGATAATTTTGTCGGTTACTCACATTGAGTTAGTTTTTATCTCATAAACGAATGTTATAGACTTTAAAATTTAGAATTCAAACCATCGTGTGTGTTATTCCAGTCACGAAAAAATATTATGTTTTAACATTAAATAGTAATAGTCTGTGAAGGAGTGCTAATATTGTTCCATTAACAATCATACAAAAAATGTTTGGACGAGCTTAATTAAAATAAAACAAGACCATCCTAAGGGTACTATAGGAAGATACAATTATAAGACATTGGCTGCCTGATTACTTTAAAATATTAAAGTTTAAATAACTTGTAATGATTAATATATTAACTATTAACTTATAACTATAATTTTATTCAACATGAAATTTTATTTTATTATCCGTAAAATATATGGCATCTAATAACTTTTCATTTTGTCGTTCGAACTTGTACATAATTAATAACTATGATAATAGGCTGCAAAGGCGTATGACAATGTAAAATATAAATCAATAAGCCCATAAAGATAAGCATAGTTAAGAATCTAGAATTCTGATGACATTTCATAATTTACATTTTTMTATATCAATACTTACACATAAGCATTATAGTACATTTTATAAAAAAAAAGAAATTAAATTTGGTTTTATACTACCACATGCAATAACATATCAAATACGTATTACTATACATTACTAAACTAAGCAATCGTACAACATTATATTATATATTAGTTGATTATAATTTCTTACTTCTTTGCGTTCCACGTTGAATTCTTCATGTGCGTACTTTTCTGATTGATCACGTACATCCCATTCACCAAGTCGTACTTTTAAATTATTATTCGCCGTTCTTTTAAATAGTAAATATGTTTAGATTAATGTCATTTAAATGAACATGTTACACGATTACAAAATATTAAGTGTTGTCGTAGACGCGCGTACAAAGTTCATTTCAGGTCAAGTTATGTTGTGCAAAATCAGGGCTTAAAAATTAGCCCGATTATTCAGACTTATATAAAACTAGTCGTAGTCGCTTCCTATCTATATTTTATTTTGTAGGTGAGTGGAAGTGACATCATCTTACGTACACATAAATATTCTCTTATCGTTTAATACCAAGTTGATATGAATGAAAATCCTAATTAGTTATTATATACTTACGTGGCCACGCAATGTGCAGCAGTAACTACCCATCGATTACTCAGAAGAGCTCCTCCACATGATAATTTTTTTGACAAAAACCCTGATTTAATGATAGCAGCCTAGATCAATAAAGATATATTGTTGTTACAATCAATTCAAATGATAACAATAATAATATGAATAGGTATTTATTTGAAATGTTATACCTGCCACGGATGTGTACCAAAGTTTGATCCATGTCCACCTACAATTCTATGGCTTCTTGCATATAGCTCTCCACAACCTATTAAATTAAAAGGTGTATATTAGGTATACATATATTATTTATGTTGTAAACTCATAATTAGGGGCCGGAATTATATTCTTTTGCATATTTTTTTTGAGGCTATGCAGTCAGACGGGGGTTCGAAATCTTTACAAATCATGAAGCCGGTTAATTAATGGCAAAAGTTTTTTTAGCATATTTGAGAATATTTCAAGATAAAAGAATATTTCGTACTATTAAGAATATTTGAGAATATATCGATTAATTTCTATAGACATTCGATATTTTTTGTTGCAGTGGCGTAAATAATAATAGTGTTATAAAATTGATACATTATATACGTATTATAACCATTAACCACCGTATAATGATATTTATGCTCTACATTAGTAATGTACTGTAATAGTCTGTAGTAGATAAGTGACTTATCATTATATGTCATATTATGAGTCATAATATATTTTGTACAAGAATAAGGTGTACCTATAAAGTGCAAACATGAGGATCAAGAAGGTATAACATAATTATAACATTAACTACAAAAGATAAAAATAAAAAATCAAGCTTGAATATTAAAAAAAAAATGTTTTCATAGAATTATTCAAGTATACCTTAATAATTATTTTAATAAAAACTATTGTCGTATTGTCGTGATAAATGAGTATGGTATGGTACATTCGTAACTAATTCTAAATGTAGGCAATCTTCTATATTATTAACATATATTTCTTGTATACCTACCGCGATTAAATCACATATTATACAATTACAAACATAAAACATATGACCACAAATTGTACATTAACAGATGTATAATTATTATTTGTTTCTATACGTTTTGTAAGCAAAAATTTATTTTTTAATTGTATTCCTCCAGATATTTAATATTACTATAGTAATTTTAATCTACGTTTAAAAGATCTTAAATTTTTACTTTTAATTAAAATTCAAAAATAAAACACTGACATAGGTATGAAAAAAATGGTATCGATAACTTAAACTTAAGTTAATCTCTTTAACCAATTTATTCATTTACAATTCGGACTTCAAAAATAGTGCCATATGATGGGCGTGATCTAAGGGCAATGATGTCTTTTGATCTTTTATTTTTTTTGTTACACCCCCCCCTCCCTCAAGAATTTACCCCAGTTTACACCTATGCATATAAGACATATCTAAGTCAATAAGAAAATTATATTACGCACAATGTAATGATTGGTGAGACATATGCATGTGACATAATGCCATAGCAATGGAAGGAGTCAATTGGTGAGTGACACTATATTATATAAGCTCAAGTCAAACACTTAACAATTTAATTGGATAATTACCATAATAAAATATTTTATTTTCTATAAACTTAAATCTAAAATATTTCACAATTACTGAACTTAAAGTCATTGGCAATATTTAAATCGATATCTTGATAAAATAACTAACGTATTAATAATCATTAATATTTAGAAATATGTTTAAAAAGCTGAACAGGATAATTGATTTATGGTTAGGAAACATGGACTCCGGGACTCGTAATACTTCGTTTTGAAAATTATTTAATGCATTTATCAGGTATAGACAGTAAGACATTATATATTATTTCACGTTTTGAGAAACTACTATTTCTGAGGAAATCAACGCTTCAGACTCAAAATAGTACCAACTAATGTTACTCGATGTCCAGTGGATAGCTGCGTAATGTTTTGGGAGTGAGTGGTAGTTTTTAGGCACTCTAAAACTACTTAGTAAAGTCAAAATCTAAAATTTTATGATTTTGAAAATGTTTGTTATACGTATAAGAGTGTTATATATGTATTATAGATAATACAATACAATTCATTCATACAGATAGGTAGATACTTATATATCTATTATCTAAGTACGTAGTAAATTTCGTAATTTTTAGCTTAATAGAATTATAAATCTTAAAATTTAAAGTTAACACACATACTTAGGTAAAAGAAAAAATATGCTCTATACTTTATAGTAAGATTTAAGAGTATTTCGTCATCGAGTAGGTCACAGCATTGATGGGTTAAAAATTTTAACTTAAATTTGAATTCGATGATCATTGCATAACGAATCAAACGATTTTGAGCGGAGACGGTACCTATAGGAATCAGTTTCTATTTCAAATTTATTCATTTAATTATCAGTAATTTATTTTTCCCTAAGTAAAACGGTAGATTAGACTTTTTTTATAAAAAAAATCATATAATATAGGTACAGTAATAATTTTAACGGATATCGTGTGTACTTATTATTGTTTTTATAAATTATAAGTCAATACCAACGTACCATTAACGGTGTAGGTTTCTCAAATCATGATATAAATAGATTTAAATAATTTTAAAATGTAATTGTGTATTTTTTTTTCAAAGTTAAAGCACAACGAGAACTACCTCATTATCGTTAACGGTAAATCCTCCTGTTAATTGCATTAAAATGGTCGCGTTTTATCATGTTACAAGTTTAACATAAAATCAGTTCAGTCGAATGCAAATATATTGTTTGCAAATTATATGTTACAAGCGTAACACGATATATTTGTGTTTGACCGAACCAAGTTTGTGTTGTAACTTGTTAGATTTAATATTATGACAGTGAAGCGATCGATTCATACCATAATCTTTGTTTGTATGTTGGAGTTTAACAAGTTATTCTTCGATTCTTTTGTAAGTTATGAGTGTAAAATATTAAATATTGCGATTTAAAAATGCTCAAAACTTGAAAACCCGTAAAGAAAACAACAAAATATAATAAATACAATCACACAGATAATACTTTTTACTCCAAGTTTAATAGTTGGTCAATTCACTGTACTATCAAAGCTTATAAACAAAAATTATATAATCTTAACTCTTAAAAGGATGTCGGTGTACTATTTGTTTACTCTTTCTGCAGACCTATGCGTAAACAGCGTAAATTTACGTTCAATAAGATCGATATTGTATTTTCTGTTTTAATATTAGAGTGAATTCGCCTATTATAAAATTTAAAAAGTGGATGCCGCTTTGCTTTACAGTAGATTACTGTAATGGATGGTAATAAATTTTAATTTAATCATATAATATCATTGTATTTACGAAAAACGATTCTAATCGGAGACGGGTTGTAAGTCTAGTATATTTTATACGATATTAATGATATATTGCAGTTATTATATATAAAAAAAAAAAAATTATGGACCTATAAAATGAATTCCAAATTAATCAAATAATATTCGTTATGTACTCGACTCACTCAGTCATTCATATTAGTGTATACCTACCTACAATTTATTATAAAGTATTAATATACGTCATTAATGACATTAACAATCATAATTCATAATACTCTAGAAATTTTAAGTACCCACGAATAATATTTTTAGATTACAACAATATAACTAAAGTTGTTATTCTTGGTTATTTAATATGCAATTTCATCCAAATTTAAACTTAATATATAACCATAAAAAAATGCATTTACCTATATAGCTTTTAGATTTTTTTTTGCGGAAAAATTATCTATTTACCCGGAACCTTGTTTTAAATTCTCATTCCTTAGTTAAAAACGTGAACATTTTATAATTTTTAACACTAAAGAATTTGTAAATATTCTATTAAACAAAATTTGAACTTTAAACGGTTATAAAAAAAACATGCATAAGTATTTTTAATATTTTCCAATTGCTATAATACCAACTTATGGGAAACCTTTTATTCAATTTTCAAGTGTTTTAACCTTTAACATAGGTAACGAATAAAATTGTATTTATAGAATAAAAAACTAAAATAAATGGAAAATTTCAAATGTCTATGAATAATTTAAAAATTGATGAAACATTTTGAAAATTTTATCAAGCATAGGAATTGATAAAATAAACATTTGGGGCAAATTTTTAGTTTCTACAGTTATTCGTTTTTGAATAAGAATATTGGTACAAGAGAAATTGAGTGAATATCCAATGTTGTGATTCAAATGCTCATAAAAATTTAATTTGACTTTCTACTAAACATTTTTTATATGATAAAAGTAGACATACTCATGAAGAATTTTCAAACCTTTGATTTAAAAAGATGAATTTTTATAAATTTTAACTCAAAATAAATTGCAAATTTTCGCGATTTTTACGTATTTTGTCAAAATTCTAACTTCAAATGCTTATTAAAAAAAATTGAGACTACTCGCAATATTTTTTAACTAACACTGTGGTAATATATTAAGAGCCTTGTATTAAATTTTGAAGCATTTTTAATAAAATTGTATTGACATATACAAAAAAAAAATTAAAAAGATTGAAAATTTTAAATGTCTATAAACAATTTAAAAATATTTGAAGTATTGTGAACATTTTATCAATTACAAAAAATGCCAGTATAACCATTGAAAATTTCATGTATCTATGGTGATTTGTTTTAGAATTACACTAATATCTAAAATCAATATTATCAAAAATTGGTTTTGCGTAAAAATTCACGTTTTTCATTAATTTTTTTCCTTCGATGCTTTTAAAAACTACTAAGAATTTCATGCATTATTTCGAAAACTTATCGTGTACTCAGACCACATAAAAAACACACACACAGCATTGTAAAATCAATACGTTCATCACTCCGCTCAGAATCTAAAATACGAATACTATTTATGTTTGTATGTTACTTTTTTTTTAAATATTTTGATTTTTAATTAAGCTTTCAGTAGATACCTACCTATGTAAAATATTACATTATTAAGCTCATAAATTAAAAAAATAAAATACGAATACCGTAAAAAAAACAATTAAACAAACGTATAAACACTGCAGATAATATCCATACCTTTGGAATTTAATATTAGGTCAAATCACTTTTATATTAAATCTTTCAACACAAAATTGATTTAACTGAAGCTGAATTCATATGGGTATGACGACTATGACGTCTATGTAATATTATAATTTGTGAAACGTTTTCAAATAAAAAGAGTGAACAAATTTATTATCTTAACTAAAAAGTGTGAAATTGAAAAACTATAAAATGATTTGGCTTAGCAGTGCACACATTTCAAAAATAAACTTTAGACCCACATTGATGTGACCGATAGATGTAATATATATACATTGAGACCCCCCCCCCCTTAAAAAAAGTAAATATGTATGGAATGTTTAATGTTTATAATGTCAATGTATATATATATATATGATTAGGTAAAACGGCTGTCTCATYAAAAATCAAAATAAAGAATTATATAAACATAATATTAATTTTAATACTAAAAAAAGTTGTAATATTTTGTCGGGATGACAATATGACATACTAAATTATATTTTGTATAAAACAAAATGGTCTTTAATCTTCCCATCGACAGATAATTCATTAAAATAATCAGCCGGATGTTCTACCCAATACACAAGATACTTTTTGGACAGTAAAACCATAACCATTAAATTGAATTAAATATATAGGCAATGTATGACGTATAGATGGAATTATGTTGATAAACGTATAGTGATCGATAATGCCGAACGTAGCTTGATATCAAATAATAGGTACAAATAATATCATAAAAACTATAAAATAACAACTTCGCGTAATATTTTGCAGTTATCATATAATGTACCTATAGTAAATTATTAGTAGGTACCTATGTACAATATATTGTCATGTGTGTATCGATTTAAAATAATTCGATGTTTAAATTTTTTTTTAAACCGTCGTAATGCACCTCTCGTAATAATACGATGTATATTCTATAAAGGTGCTGCTGCAGTGTTGTGCTATATGATCATAGAACGTGCTATACATATAATCTATATAGATACGTTTTAAGACAAAAAATTGTGTCGTGTGTTATTATCGTGCGTTTGTGCAATGCTCCTTACAAAATACAAATATTTATACAAAGTGCGTTTATATGAATTATAAAGACAGCCCGAAGATCGAATGTTTTTGTATTCACATCTCGAGAGCATACAGTAAATAGATTGGTGTATGCGTGTCTTCTGGGCTGCAGGTGCTTTAATTCACTCCAGAAGTGATGTATATATATGTGTGTGTGAGGCGTATGACCGGAAGTGCGACTTTATGCATAAACAGCGACTGTAGTTTACCGCGATATCCAGACGGCATGTAGTGCAACAATTGGCTCTGTTGCTGTTGCGGTTGCTGTTGCTGCAGTTGCAGTTGTTGTTGTTGTTGCTGCTGTTGCTGCTGCAGTTGATCGTCGGCAACGATGCCGCTGCCAATTTGAGTGATGTGAGAGAACGGCGCCAGTTGAGGTGGTTTATGCGTGGAATAAAACACGTTTCCGTGATCGCTGTGGAACATCAAATTTTGTGGCGTGGGTGGTAAAGTCGTGCTGGTCGAAGAACTGCTGACTGCCCCGGCGCTATTGATCTGCCAATGGCCGCCGGCGGAATTCTGATGGTGCTGATAGTAATACGGGTGGTAATGCTGGTGCTCTTGTTGATAATAGTACGATGGTTTGGCCGTTTGATCGGCGACGAAAGACTGCGATGACGGACTTATGTCGTTGATGTAGTTGTCCACGTAACTCGCCACCGTCGCGGGCTGATGGTTGTGATTGTGTTGTTGTTGTATTTGCAAATGTTGTTGCTGTTGATGTTGATGTTGTTGTTGCATATACATGTTATAGTGATGTTGGAATTCGGGGTATTGCATCAGGAACTGTATGGCTTTATACAAGAGGAAACGACATGACAATAATGCATATAACGCAATAACTATATAATATTTTGAGAGAGTATCGTTTCCCATACATTTTTAAAGGCTCATATGGTCGGGTAGGTATGTCGTACGTGATATCTATATACTATTAAAATATTATGTAGACTCAAAATGGAGGTCAATAAGAAATACATAACGTTAATCGTAATACACAAGGATAATGATCCTTATGGAGTACACTTATCATATATAATTATGATTAATACATTATAATATAAACTATAATTTAAGTATTTAGTACTTAGATAATAATGATGTCATGTTTGTTCCAAAATTAAAACAGAAAATATGTTACAAACATGACACACAATTATTATAATACTATATGTTTAGGTTTTACTCAGCAGCCAGTGCAAAGATATTAAGTATAAGTACCTATACACAAACGTATTCGCATCATATCGTCGCAACGAAACGCACGTGTTTATAAGCATGTGTGTCACTGAGTTATAACAATTAAAGACACAAAATATAAATGCTTACACGGCTAAACAATCAAACATAATACAGGTACGACGACGATGACAGAATAGCGTCGTCTCGGTGTTTTGATAATATTACTACGGTAGAAATATTATGGTATCCAAGTCGAAATTAAAACCAAATAAATACACTCTCACGTCGTACCTGTAACGCGTTCTTTGCCATAATTTTAATGATATATACATATATATCGTAAACCATGATTTTTACGAAAACGAGAACCATGACAATATTATAACAATGATAGCGAGTAGCGACCATAAAAAGTTTTGCTCTGATTATAATACCAGACRAGAGAAATTAACGYGATTATTATTACTATTATTATAATTTATAGTGAACAACTGTGCCGTCGCACATCCAGTGTACGCGTGACGACGTGTCGTTATAATAACAATAATACATGAATATGGGCACTACGTGAAACTTTACGTTAAGTGAATAATATAATATATTGTGCAATGCTGTCGTATTATTATCATGATTATTTGGAACCGTTTATTTCGATATTTATGTTTAAAACAATCGCGCACGTTCTGGAATGAGACGTTAAAGAATGAAAATAAAAATAACACGGTAAAATATAAAAACTCACTAGCATTTTCTATTGTTCCCACCGAATTCGAAGCCGCCGTCACGGATGAYGACGACGACGAAGAAGATCCGGATGTCTGAATTTTGTCTCTGGACACGCAACAGCTCCATATCATGCCTCCACTGCACAAGTCCACTGGTTTGCCGCCCTCGAGCACGCACGAAATGCTAAGGCCGCAATCGAATTTGTTGCTGTTGTACCAACAAGTCTGAGGTATCACTGTGTACGAAAAAAAAATGTTTTAAAAAAAAAACGTCAACATGACGTAATAGTGTGTATAACATTATTTAGACATAATAATATTCGTGGTGGATCAACCGAGGTAATGCATTATAAGAATATCTTATATTATATATTGTATCATCGCTGTTGTTTAATATTATAGGTATACCATATTATAACGTCAAAATACCTATTTATAATACAATATAATTTAAGTTTTGTCAACATTTAATATTTATATTATAATGCAGACTGCGAGCATACCTAATTCGCTATACCTCATCAAAAATATTACACCATCGATTTTTATGATCAAACCTGTCTACCCGTGGTCATTTTACATATGTTTCAGGTGCCATCAATGATCGATCGTAATAAAAATAATTATCTGTAATGTTTATTCAACCTTAAGTGTCATTACTATTGTTATAATATTATTTCCTAATTAATATTATCTATCATTTGTCATGTTAAAGTTGTCAAAAATTACTGATTTTCTATATATCTGTTAAACAGTTTGTTGATAACCGACAAAGGCTAAGAATGTCTTATTATAATACAAATTAAAGTACATTTTCAAATATTTTTCTAAAAACTAAATTCAAATTGAAACTAAACCAATATATTACTTTGGCGATAGAAATTTCGGCAATACTAAGATAATTAAACGTATATACGAAAACAGGTAATCAACGATTGACGGTTACGTCACATCGTCATCAATATTCAGAATAACTTTAATCACCGATATTTCGGGAGTAAACAATTGTAATAAATTAGACCATACTGCAAACGAACCAAAATTTAAACAATTCGATTATCAACGTTAGTAGGTTAAGATTTTTTTTTAATACGCAAATCGCTTGAGAGTACCTGTAATATTAAGACGTAGACTCTCCATATATTTTAAATTTTCAACAAAATCTTGAGAGTACAGCATAATAATATGTGGGGAAATTGGAAACACCGGTGCTTATAATGTTACTATTGTAGAGGTATCTACCTACGTTTTTTTTCTGTTTGTTTGTTTGTTTGACTGTAGAGGATTATAAGAACGAGAACACGAAAACATGGATTTGTAAGAAAACGTTTTCGACGAAATCGTATAAATAATAATATTTCAATGATTATGCATATAAGGTACATAAAAGACATAAAACTACTTAATGATCTGTAATTCTGTTGTGTTTCAATGCAATTATGATCTTCCATAAAAACGTTCTACAAAATAGATTATTTGTTTCACGTTGTTTGCTGTACCTACGTAGGTACATACGATAATAGGTGCATAATCCAAACACGTCACGGCACAACTGTGTAATATTATAAATTATAATCAATAAAGAAATTTGATAGGTTGAGAGTATACTCAATATTAAAGTGTATATATAGTAGTTAAGTATTAGAGTGGAATAAATATTTGAATGCTGCAACGATTATTCGAAAACGACTAATGTGTGTTTTTGACGGGGAAAGGTTTTTTATATTGATGACATTCCATAAATTTACTTTTACATTTGGATTATTTAAATTCTGTAAAAGTAAAACGTGTTGAGAAAATAATAATTATTATTATGAACCAAATAATTTCGTACGACCCACTGTTATTAATTTTTATTTTTTATAAATGCGTATTATCGAATATCAATTTATACTATCTTGTAAGTTTTAATGTACCTACACATTTCTAATTGATTTTCTCATTCGTATAGCCGGTAAAATGTAAGTACCTAATGGAAGTGTAGCAAATTAATAATTAGCTATACATGTGAAAAAATGATTTCATAATAACTAATAATTTTTATGTAGGTACATTTTCATAAAATATACAATGTAACAGGAAGATCTGAAAACTAAAATCACTTTTATTCTAATCAATATTTTTCATTTTATTTATTTTTTTAATGTAATTTACAGATGCTTGCGTTGGCATAACGTGTTATAGTTTTATTTTTTAATATACTGAAAATAAAACATTTAAAATCTGATATAAATTATTTTTGAAAAATTCAAATTTTAATAAAAACATTTATTTAAGTTATGAAGGTATAGCTTACTTTTTAAAATTTTTTAAAATCTTATTATTTTTAACAGTTAAGTTGATCTAGTCGTGAAAATCATTTTAAATTCAAAAAGTATAGGCTTTTTAAACACATATAGCTTATGATAATTTTTTAGGAAGTACTATTGTTAAAATCTAAATATATATTTTTTTTAATTCATTAAACTTTTCAATTCAAATTAAATAGCGTTACTTCAAAAAAAAAATACATATTAAAAATCATAAAACAAACACCTTGATTACTATCAAAATTCTCTAAAAATCAGATTTACAATTTGAATATTTGAAAATATTTAATTTAATAAATATTTTCAATATTAAAAAATAAAAACACGTTTAGTCCTGGTTAGGTATAACAGATGTTACTAACTGATGATTACTATTCAATGAATTATTATTAAACTGAATTTATGTAAAAAAAAATGGTTCATATCCAATACCTAAAACTTCAAAAATTTTCTTTTAAAATGTTCCTCTCAGAAATATTATAACATGGGTATGTACTTGGTGAAGTTTTTTTTAAAAAAAACAAGAAAATCTACCAAACAATGAAATAAATTATTGTCAAACAAAAAGACCAATGTGTTGGTTTCTTTGTTTTCAATGTATAAACATAAACTAATTTAAATAAACAAAATTATTGCGGTCATAAATACCTACTAAATGTTTAAAACACATCTACAACGAACGATGTATAGATATTAAAATATCAAGTCACCGTGGCAAGTTGTGGACGAGTATTATACATAGTATAGTAAATCAAGAAAGGAAAAACACCAGACGGCCGTGATGAAGAAAGTGAAACCACATCACGGTCATAGAATTGCTTTCGTTTATACTACCTATACTTACAAATAATCGTGATGTGTATAATTTATTAATATTTCTACAGAAACGAAAATGGAGGAACGTGCGCAGTTTTTTAAAATATTATACATTAAATTATTATATACATGTAATAAATTGTAATACGTCACTAAACAAATTTACCAGGGTTTGATTAAACAATATAAATATCCCGGACATGAACACGGATAGCAAAAGAATATTATTATTTTATTTTTCGCGCGACTTTTAATAAACCATTCAAAACAAATTACCAAATATAAGTACCTAGTCATTACATCGTATTCTCACTTTATCGATGGTTATCGTTAAAAAATCGAGTCAAAAAATTGTATTCAAAACTTGCTAAAAAAAAAAATACTCAATGTGGGGAAAAATGTTGTAATATTCGTTGTTCATTAAAAATAACTTATACATTTTTATAGACTATTAATAACCAAGACTTTTTATGTATAAACAACCACCTATACACGATAAGTCTATGGTAAGAAATTATTTTTTAAATGTTTTTTGAATCTATAAGTTAAGGAACATTACCAACAAAATATAAAATTTACAAAAATTAGGTACCTACTACTAAAAATACTGAAAAATTATATTCAATATAACTGCTTCTATGTGATACTAGACGGATTTATAATTTGGCCTGAATCGTACACGGATATATGTACATATATGTATGTATATAAGAATAAAATATGTAAAAGTCATAAACCTCTTAACCATAGTGATTAGCCATCGCCCATCAGCGGCAATTTGTGCCATATTATTACTTATTAATACCTACAGTTAGAAAGGTGCACCTACCTATATATTATTATATTAAATTGTACGGAAAAAATTATTAACTATATTTAAAAACGTCTGGAAATCATTTAGTCGTTTTCGTCATTATTATATTGCACCTATAGGTATAACCAACTACACCGGACAAGTAATATTGGAAATTTCGTGCAAACATCGATCGAATTGCTTCGAGCAAACCGTTTCGCCGTTTCGATACATAAGAAGTAAAATATTATAATATTATAATGTTGTTATAAAAATGTGTTGGAGTGCGAAGAATACATCCCGAAGGCTGAAATTATTACATGTAATCACAGAGAAAGTTATCAAGGATGTAAGTAAATACAATGGTATTATTCTAAACGGAAAACCCACACAAATATAAATTATAATATGACATGATCACTATCAGGTAATTGAAGCACATCATGCTTATGTGTTATAGCAGAGCGAAATCATTAAAATCATAATTAGATGGGACGAGCACTGCATTGTATGATGATAATATTTTAATACAACAAACATTGTTGTGCATCTCTTGGTTTAAGTAAAGAAAAAACGATTTAAGTATACACGACGTAATTTATTCGTGTCGGTCTCGGTGCATCTGAAATATAACTGCAGTAGTCTACCATCGGTTATAGACACACATTTATATAATTATATCTAATGCAATGAAGTCTCGATAACTTAATTTATTTTCAGCCCTTGAAGTGTTTTTATTCGTATTATGTAAGGTAGAAACTCGAAAACTAAATAAGTCTAATTTATTTTTATTCCTCTCGAGATTCGAGTTATAGAACTAGACTGTTAAACTCATAGTAAGATACACTTATGACAAGACTTTCTACTTGCACAACATATGTATACCTAATAATATTATATTATGAATTATTATTTAAAATTTTCGTTCCTGGCAACCCCTGAGTCCGACACAAATACGTTACCTAAAACGTCGCGTGTCTGACGATTAGAAGCCTAATCACTGTTCACCGAATTATTAATGTATATACGTATTATTATAGTCTCGTACCCATTAGACCAAGAAAGAAATAGAAGACAGTGATTTCTTCACAGATTTTAAGACTATATAATATATAATGACTATAACGAAAACGACTAATCTCTGGCAGAACCGTGGTTAATTACTCTTGTATATTTTATTGGGTACCGGCTATTGTACTTACTGTAGATTTTTTATTTCTTTTAAATCGTTTTCATCGTCAACGTCGTCCACCCACCCGCCCCATCACTACAACCCCCCACTCAACACAAAAATCACGACGGTATCGTTTTCTTCGATCGGTTATTTTTTTATTTTTTTATTATCCTCTATCTCTCTTTTCTTTCGTTCGTCTTCCTCTAATCACTCGGAAATGTCAACACACCCATCATCGCATCGGCAATCGAGTTCCGCGACGGCTCATCCGGATATTATACAAACGCATTGCGTGATGGCAGCGCATCGGGTCGTATATACCTATAGATACATTTTATAAGACCCGGAGCGTGCACCCGTATACTTGCACATTTTACTACCATGTTATGTATACGCACGATTTACCCGAATTTATGAATGGTTTTCGTAACAGGTATTACGAGTGAAACGGACGGAAAACAAAAACCAACAACTAAAAAACCGTCGCCGTTGGTGCGACACGAATACGAACACGACAATAAGAAGGTACCTAATGCAAGTAGTTATAGGTACACGTAAAACTATGTATACCTACCAATACTAGGCTAATATACAATAATAATATGAATGAAAAAAAACATGTCCCGAAAAAAAACGGACGCGTCACACATACTTTTGCCCAACATGTCCATGAGATCGTTTTGAAAGCCTTTGGAACCGGTGACGGTTGGTCCGCCGTAGTAGCCACCCTTACCGGCGGTGGTGTTGAAACCGGACTTTTGACCGAGCACTTCTGCCAACAGCACGGCGTTGCTTCCCGCGGCATCCGGCTGCTGCTGCTGCTGCAACGACAGCGACGGCGGAGCAGTGGCCGACACGGCCGCTGGAGACGTCTTGGTCGCGTACGACAACCGTTTCGAGTACCACTTGGACGCCACGTCCGACGACGGTTGCTGCTGATCGCCGTCGACCACCGAGTTTAGATGTGGCGCCTGGTGCACGACCACCTGTACTTCGGACAGCGACGACGCGGCTTCCGATCCGGTGACGACCACCGGCCACTGCTGCTTGTCGTCTGCCGGTTCCCGCCGCTTGTCGTCCGACTCACCCGCGAACGCCACCTTGTCCTGGTGGTACTTGTGCACGCCAGCGGACGCCCGTCGACGGCTGCTGCCGATGATCCAACCGCCCCCGTCGGTGGCCGACGAAGACGTGCCGTCGCTGACGTGATGATACGTGTTGACGGTACGACGGTGACCGTCGTACGCGTCCGATCTGTCGTTGACGTGGTGGTCGTCACCGCCGCCGTCTAAACCTCCGTCCGCGTCGCCATTTATCCGCTGACTCTGCCGATCGGTGGATCTAAGGACTGGCGGCACGTAATGCGCTGCATCGGACGAGTCGACCGCGGTGGAATCCACGTGGCTGCCGGACGACGAGGCACTGTTGCAGTACAACTGCATCACTATGACACTGACGATTATGGAGTGTGACCTCATGGCAACGCGCTCGTATTAAACGATTCGCGCGATTTTTATCGTTATGAACGATAAAACGATGTAGTTATAATGTCGTCGTCGTCGCCGTTTTGTTATAGTCTTATAATACGTGGTCGTCCGTAGTACACCGCGTTACAACGTTATTATGACGATGATCTGTCGCGGTTGTCGTGGTGTTTCGGTGACGTTCCGGCGATACGACATTGACCCGTAAGGCTCCGGTGAAAAACGACGATGACTACTATACAACCGTCGTTGTTGCGTAACATCCGATGATGATGAAGATGATGACAATGATGACGATGATGATGATGATGACGACGACGATGGAGACGACGGAGACGATGACGAGTGACGGTTTTGACGACGACCGACGAATACCGGAGGAATTATGCGCGCCACGAATCTTATGATATGCTTGCGTGTTGGCCACTTTCTTCTTTCACCCGCGCGTGTGCGAACTCGGCGCGTACGTGTGTACGATATATGCAATACGGCGAATAGGGCTTGGCCCGAGCAAATAATAATATAATAATAATAATAATAATAGTATTCGCGCGTATATCGCTCGAAAAACTATCACTTCAATAACAGGAGTAACAGCAGCAGTTTACCTTGGATTCCTGCGCGTGTATACAATGTCACGGAACGAGCGTATGCACTTTCTTTCTGTAGGTACACGCGCCGCTCAGTCGTCGTTGTTATATTTATTATTATTATTATTGTTATTATTATTATTCGATGCAGTAGTAGGTAGTATTATGATTATTAAATTTTCTATCTCACACCACGCAGCACACACGTTCACTTTCACTCGCGGTCACTGAGAGTAAAAGAACGAGTGAAAAAAATAATAATAAAAAAATTCCGACACTACCGAGTACAGTGTAATTAAATTACGACGATAACAATAACAATATATAATATTATTACATATTATATTATCATYGTCAATATTAAYAGACGTTTCTATATTTGTAACGGAAAAACGTGGCAGCTATAATTTCAAGAAAAATTCAATGTCAAATTAATYGAACTTGAAATTTAAAAATCTTAAGCAGTTGTTTTGATTCGCACCAAAAATATATAATTAATTAGTAAACGATAAGCCATAGAGAAAAAATAAATAGTTTATTAACTTTAAACTTACCGCGTCACGAGTCGTATTAATATGAATATTATCACTGATTGTGTAAAGATCTATAACTCACAGATATAATACGCTATTATTAATGAAATAGAAAAATAAAATCAGATTTCAATAGACTATAATAATATATTATATTTATATTGATACGTGGATGAGAAATTTTCTTTATAAAAAAAAGACAAGATAACAAAAGACGCGGGCGAGAAAATTGTCCTTTTGTATATCTTGATACGATGATATTATATAGTGACAGATAAACGGCAGATCACATTGGCGGTTATTTTTTTTTTACATTTTTATCATCACGACTATCAATACACCACAGATATAATATAATATCTGTATATATTATATATATGTATATATAAATAATGAAGTGCAGTCTTTCTTCTCCGAAACAATATTATAACAATAAAGACAAATATTAAGAAAGTAAACCGACTGAGAGCCGCAGCAGCACACAAAAGACTGGTTGCTGTAAATCGTAGCGACTAGCATCGTCATAATATTATTCAAGTGTCTCCACCTAACCGCTCTTTTACCGTGAACTTTCTCTTAATCGGTGTGCTGTTGTTTTGTGTGTACTGCAGTGTATACTTGACGTTTACCCCTCCACGATTAAAAATAGGAATCGCTCTCTTTCAAACGTCATAACTGTGCTTTTACTGTAATATTATTCCATACATTTCTTAAGCGTGTAAATAATATATAGGCTATATGGCTAGGTATATCGTATAATACGATATAGCTGGTATATATGTTAACAAATTTTCAAGATAATCCATTAAACAAATAACACCGTTGAGGTATAAAATCTGATGAAATCGTGTACATTTTACGTGACCAAAAATCCAAACATATTCTCAATAATATGCATTTATTATACGTATAATAATTATTAAAATATGTTTTATAAATACGACGTCTAAAAATTATTAATAGTATTTTCATTTTATATATTTTCGGTCTGAGACACTACGAAAAAACCTTTGGACTATTTCTTATTAGATCATACAATGATCAATGCGTCTTTAAGGCGGCTCTAAATACAAATCTTTAAAATTATTTATCAATAAATATAAATTTTTACGGCTTTAAAAAGTGAAATTAATAATTKATGTCATAAAATTTTAACCGTGCATTTGGTTACAAAATCAAAGCTAACAAGATTACAAGACTCTGTTCGAGTATTATGAATGTGTTATACATGTATAGATATAGTTATTATACGTTAATTTCTTTTAGAAATAGAGGGTCCAAAAATGCTTTGTATAATTAATTAATTAAATTGTAAATTTAAAGAGATCTTAGACTAAATCCGTTRATTAAAATATAGGTGATTAGGTAGTTAGTTTTTTACACATTGATCAGCTAAAAAGGATGTAGTATAAATGATTCGTCGAATTTCTTGAATTATAATTTATAAGGAGCATCTAACTACTTCAGATGTATAAAAGTAATATAGCACAGAACGACTGTATATAATATAAGTCAAAAGTATAAAAATGGTATTGCTTTTTTTAAAATTAATTACTTGTCTTAATTTATTTCCAAATTATCTACAAATATAATGTTGAATAATAATAAATTAGAACTTTATTAGGTACAGTTTTCAATTTTATCGGTTTYGTAAACTAATTATTGTGAGTAAGTGTAATTAATAAATGCTTTCTATTCATATATTTAAAATTAGATATTTATTAATTAACAATTATTATACAAGCAATACCGTACTTTAGGTATTCAGTTAAATTTGGATGAAACTTTAAATACTATTTTTTAGGCCAATAGCGCAGTCTATCAATTTAAGATTTTTAAACATACGTTTTTAGAACAAGCCAATATATTCCGCGTTCATGTTTGTCTATCCTTCCGTTATAGTTGCCAGTACAAGAATAACTTACATATTTACGATTGTTAAGTTAAGATATTTATTAATAATTGCAAGTAATAATTACTTGTGTTAAGTTTTTATAACAGTTCAATTCAATTTAAACTCATAATAGCTTGCAGTATTAAAAATTAAAATGCATCAAAATATGAGCCTACTCGATATTATGGGTTCATACTAGTCAATACTAAAAAAATAGATACCAAAATGTATATAAAGGTTACCAAATTCATTTTAAATAGTATAATATGGAATAATAGTTGTATTAAAATGCGTTAAGAACCTCGAGATTTAGCACCCTCACAGAATGATAACTAACTTATTTAATAAATAAATATATATCTCGTATTTTTAATCTCACTCATTTTCCCTATTTCTCAGCATGTAAATATAATAAGTAACAACTGATGTACTTACAAAATTGTTCGAAAAAACGACCCTTCTTCTTCTTCGTTTTGTGTTGCATTCCTTGTTGTTTCAGTCTGGTTGTTAAAGAATAATTAGATGTTAAAACGGTTGCTGTATCGTTAAATTGTAATGCAGAAACAACATCGTTTTCAGCAAATGYCATCTCTAAAAAAATAATTTTTTTTAATGGAAGAATAATATTTATTTCACAATAAAAACCCTAGTATTATTTACTTTTGGAAAACCGGCGTGTTTTGGGTAGATTGACGGCTACCGATTCACAATTTCTGATGATAGAAATAATAAAAGTAACTAAAGCTACTGCAATTATTGCGGTGTGCATGATAGTTTTTGTTGCTTCAAATGTTTCCTTTAAAATAAAATAATACATCAAAATCATTTTTAATTGGTAATTGATCTGACATTTCAAAGTGTAAGACTTAGTTGTAAATAATTGTTATTACTTTTTTAGTAATTACACATAAATTAACTATTAGATGAACAACAAAACTCATTTATAAAATACTATATATTTATATAATTTATTTATTATTTTAATATTTTATTAATTTATAATTTATGCTATTTAAAAGTTGGTTAAAATACAATATACTGTGCACTTACAAATTAGGCGTRTAAAAGTATATAAATAAACAAGAAAGTAGTTCATAAAACAACTATATATTATACTCTTACTATTCTTTATTTAATTTTCCTGGCTATTAAATTAATCACAAATCTTTATTAACTGATACCTACAATTATTTATATTACACAATACACATATCGACATTTTGATTAAAAATCTGTAACACGATACATTCGTATAGACTATAGATAGTTATTATATTATGAAGGTAAAAAAATGTCTATTATTTAATGTTACTGTAATAATTCAATCTTAATGATCATATAAATTATTCGTGATATAATCATACCTATCTATTTATTTAATTTTATTTACCACAAATATTTGGTTTTATTATTGTTTTTTTTTTTCAAATCAAGAACATAAACACTAAACTTTAAATACCTATTTCTAATTCTTTAAATATGTAAAAAAAAATCATGTTTACATAATTTGTTATTTACATGAAAATAATGTATAGTTTTCAGATTATCAGACCGTATAATTGTGCATTGAAATTGCACACTGCAAATACATATTATACTTACTAAAACAATAATAAAGAACTCAATAGTAAATCATAACTATCGTTACAATGGCCCTCAGTTCAAAATATTATTTTTTAAATATTATGCAATTATTGTTTTTAATTTAACAACTTACCCGTTTTTTTTAATTAAAATATTTTGTTAGAAGTATTAACTCAACCAGATATTTTAAGCACCACTTACACGACAATAATGATATTTAATAAGGAACTATACAATTAGGTTTTTAATTTTTAAGATAGTGTAATTTGACATTTGTTGATGTATATATAATATAAATAGCAACGATATAACTTGATTTAATTACCGTTTAACAAGTGCTAATYATGATACGTAATTCGATTAAAATTAAATTCTAATTAAATGTCCGAGCATAATTGCCCTGAGAATGTAAAAATCTACTCATAAATAATGTTGAGAAGACATTCCCGCGTATTAACTACACGGGTACTGCAACATGCCTACCAGCTGTTGATGTGTTTACTGCGAGCTGCCATGTCCGTGCAGTCAATATTGCTGGGTGAAAGTGATACTCAGTAAATGGGATGTACGTATGTTCGACGGTACACAAAAACGGCATTTCTCCTTTGGTTTTGTCATGTGCGAGGAAAATATCTCATACCATTGAATAACGTGACAATTAGATACCTATATAATAATATATAGCCGTGTAAGTCCGTATATACAATCTAAGAATAGCAGTGATGATCAATTTACAATTTATATCTCAAGGTTTATATACTTACCGGCTATATTTTTCTAATGCATATTTTGAACTCGTAAAAATGAATCAGCCTTAACTATTTGGCATTGAACAGTTTATAAACATACTATGCATAATTATTAACTACATTCATTAACGGATTAATGCATACATAATATTATGATCAGATTTAGAACGGCGTTTGTTGCTGAATTGACGAGCTGCGTTATGTGTGGACGTTAACACATCCCTTATCAGCAAAACAGATTATAAGGGCTACATCTAAAAAATAGTTAAATATTAGTACATATTGTATATAGTTATCATAAACATAGTAGTCACCATAACAACCTACAATAAGCTTTTTACTAAATTACATATTGATACCTAATTGATGACAGGCCAAGCGCATAGCGGAATGTTGAAAGTATATTCAGTCAGCAAATGTATACACACCAATCCACCCACCATTATTTATTTTTAATTATTTTGCTGCGTTTGACAATTCATTATGCTCATAAAACATACATTTAAAAATATATTTTAAATTTATAAATACTTCAGAATGGCATAATATTATAGTGTCTTAGTGATAAGATATCTAAATAAATCATAGTATATATCATTATATTTCCATAGAATTTAATTGTTAAAGTTTATTTTACAAATTTATGATGTAAGCTTACCTGTGATACCATTAATAATTTACACCACCGAGAAAACATGCAGTTAATTTAATTATCTATTTGG